TAAATTAGAGATAAGCCAAACATTTTGACATTTCATCTGGTTTAAACTTTTTATTCGTCATGTTAAGAAAGACATTTTATATGTTATTAAAAAAATAAATTCGTAGTCAACGCCATGGCGTGCGGAAGTGTCGCAGTCGTGTATGCTTAAAGGTACATACTAAAAGACAAGTTCTCCCTATCAAGGAGATATGTGCATCCAAATATAACAATTCACCATACGAATCATTTTTAACTGTTTTATTTACACAATTCTTAAACTAAAATTTGATTTCATTCACAAATAAAGAATTACAGTTGTTTAGAGCTAAGCCGTTACTCTGTAGGTTTCATTAGTATACTATTCTAGTTTGTATAAAAAAAGGGATTTCGGTATATAATAAAAAATAATAAAATTTCCACAATTTAGTTTTGTTAAAATTTTATAATGAATCGATTGTGAAGATAATTATGAATTCTTTCAAAGGGAAAAAGATACTTGAAACATATGTGGAAATAAAATATTTTTTTTTTATGTAATTAAACTTTTTTAATATGAAAGAAATGAACATTACCGATAAAATATTTAATGTTTCTTTTTTTATTTATACAAAAGATTATAAAACTAATCTCGTGTACGTAGTCCCCAAATGGAGGTTCGCCGGGTACCAACAGTGGGGCGTGCTACAGAACTATGAATGAATTTGTTTATGCCAATTTTTGAAAATGTATGTTCCAGCATTTCCAAAGCTGAATCAGTTAGCATTCCAAATATATCTAAATAAGTTAGTGTGGGCATATTGCGCAATTCTCTGTAAATAAAAAGATTGATTAATTGTTGCATTCAAATGTAACTAAGCATCGTAGCAAAACATACATATATGCAGTGGCAGGTATTAGATAACACCTTGATAATGATAAGTATTCGAGCATTTTAAATTTACATATAATACTTATGGCATTTCCAGTTAGTCCAGTACAATCGGATAAATCTAATTCCAGCAGTTGAGTGCAACGTTTTGCTAAACTAGCTAAATCTGGAAGTATAAAATTATAGATTGATATCAACGTAAAAACAAATATTTATCATTTCAACTTACGTGAATCAAACATAGTTTTACGGCAACCAGCCACATTGAGTCTCATTAAATTTGGCGTTACATTTGTTACCAGAGATGTAACCGCATCAACCGATAAATTTGTCCATGATATATTTAAACTGTTCAACTGTTTCAAGGCCTCCATAATTTTCCTAACACTCCAGGCTTCCAGACCCGAACACATGGCTAAATTTAAGGCCTCTAAACCAGTATTTTTGGCAATCTCATTACATATTTCGTCGTTGAGAGCTACATGCTCTAGACTTAGTTTCTTTAATTGCCGACAACGTGACAGTAACATTTTAAGCGAAGGCTTCGTTATGGTTATCATGCTTAAGTCTAAATACTGTAATTTTGATTCAAAATTGGCTTCAGCTTCTAGAAAGCGAGATTCGAAAACTGGATGATTGAGCTGTAATAAAGGCGTTTTTATTTTTGCTCAATTATACTGATAAACGTTTCCTACCTCTGCTTGGGCCAATCGCAGTATGACAACGCCTCTTTTAAGAATATTTTCCATTGCACCTGCTTTGATAGAACGGCCGCCCAAATCCAAACGTGTCCACAGAGATTCGTCGCTGGCACAACGATTGAAACGGCGACATACATAGCCACAACGAAGCAAAGTTTTTTTGGGTAACCATTTAAATATTTGCAATATAATCTCATCAGAAAGTGTATTGAAATGATCCTTGCCATCGGGATTGCGTTCACGCATGGTTTGATTGCGAAATAGAAAGAAAGTGTCGGAGGGAGCGAATCGTGGCGTCTGGGCCACCATATGAACGCTCTGTTGCTGCATTTGTTGTTGAATATATTGTTTTTGCAATTGTTGCTGTTGTTTTAAAATAGCTGCCTGTTGACTAGTAGACGGCATCATTGAGGGAGACTGTGACCTCTGTGGCATGGAATTATTAAAGGTATTCTAAGAAAAGACAATAAAATTTTCGTTTAATGTAAATATTTTTATATTATACAAAAATACATACTTGTTGTAATTGCATTTGCTGCTGTTGTTGTTGCAATAAAAGCTGTTGCTGCAGTTGGGCATTTCTGAGGAAACTGTTGCAAGCCACGGTGGCCAAAGGACTTCTAGTGTTTTTTCCAGCTGACGAGGGTGAGTTGCTGTTGGCCGACCCACCTGACGCCGCAACATTTCCTGCTCCCATTCCCAAGATGGCAATTTTCTTTTGTTGACTACCAGCAAGTGCGGTATTATTTGGCATGTGAAACTTATCATTGATCTTTGTCTTCTGTATTGTATGTTGTCCTTGTTCATCTGTATATATGTCAAAAGATGATGATGAATTTGAATTGTTGTTTATATTTAACGGATGTTGTTTCAAAGGATGTGGCTGATGTTGATGTTGTCCATTTGTAGATTTTCCACTTTGTAAAGAGGTGGATGTATCGTTGGGATCCAAAAAGCTGTGATTGCTAGCATTATCATTTGTTGCATCTAGCAAGGATGTGTCCATATTACGGTAAATTTGCCTTTGTTGATGACAAAATTTTGGTGCATCCAAATTTGGGGTGGCTTCATTGGAATTTTCATCGGCACTAGCCACAGCTAATGCTATGGCGGAAGCCGCTGATGAGGAGCTCTCCTCTGAATCTAGCATTCCAATGCCCATCTCTTCTAAATATTCGTTTGTAAGAGCTGATGGCGATGAAGTACTTTCAAGTTTTGCTAATTTCCACGATGGGGTTTGTGTCGCACTTTTGCTAGATAAACGTTTTCTGCAAAAGAGAAAGTTCATTAATAACTAGGTGAATTGTGTAATAAAACAATAATAATGCTGACAAAATGTAAAAAAGGAATTCAAGAGGTGTGGAAACGTGTCATTTTTTTAAATAGCGATCTAGCTACAATTCAGCTCTGAGTTTAAGATTCCATTCGAAAGTAAAGCCCACTTTTAATGTGTTAATTGTTTATCGTGTTGATCAGAACAATTAGGCTTGTCTATTGTAAAAATTCTAACCGATTAAAGTGGTATTCGTGTACTGGGTATATTTTCCTTTAATATTCCTTAATTTTTTCAGATTCATGAAAAAATGTTTCCTAAAAAGATGTGTGTGTGGTTGAACATATATTTTATGTATATAGGTAACTAACTTTCAACAGATAGCGAAGATGTTTACGGCTTTAAAGTAACTATGAAATCTGTGAAAAGGCAATGACCCAGGAACTTTGTGGGAGCAGGGAAACAAATGCAAACCCCCAATCCACGCCCATTATATGTCGATGCCGCTGCTCGTTAACAATTGCACACACATACCCACTGTTTGTACGTTTGTTGACCCCAAATGATGAAGCCACATAAGAATTTATTTTATTTAATCGGCGTCCTCAACGTAAATATATTCAACAAATATGGGAGAAAATACTTTTTATGTTAACTAAAAGCACGTAAATTCATTGTTCAAACACAACAAGCTATGATATGTACATACATACATGCAACAGCAGATTGGGGGAAGTTTATTTCAGTCAATATTAATTCGTCAATACTTCTTGAACAATATTCATCTTCTAAACAATTTCACTTTATTGGTTTGTAGCACTTGACACTTAGCAACGCGATTAATGCACAAAAACTCATTTGTTTTGTTAATAAATTATTTTTTAACCAACACTGTTTTGCAGCAACACACGAATTGACATTGCATTTTTTGTTTGTTTGTCTACTCTCCCGTATCTCACTGACATACCCACTCTCTTAACATGACACGTTTCAAGAGAACAAACTCTTTCTATTGCGACTTTATTTTTTCTTACCTCGTTGTTGGACACAAATTTTCGTTGTTTTCCTTTGGCTTTGTTAATTTATTATTCATTTTATTAATAATTTTTTTGCTTTGTTTGAAGGAAATTACTCAAAGCAACAAACGACTAGTTTCCTTGAAATAATTCAACAAGTATAGTTGTAATCTTTTGATATTGAGAACTCCACGATGTCAACAGAAGAAGTGCGCGGGAAGAATATTAATAATAGGGATACTTTCGTCGATATTTGACCCGGCTGCGAATTGACGCCGTTTTATTTTTGACAATAAGGCCAAAACAGATTATGGCGGTATTTCCTCAATTTTCTTAAAGCTAAGTTTACACTTACCAATAGCTATCGTATGTGATGTCTAAGTTAAGAAAATATATCCCTAGCAGATCCTTAATTGTCAAAATATTATTGTTTGGTTAACATTATGTTATAAGTGTGTCGAAAACGATGTAAAATACAAATACAAATTTGAGACAATTCCATTAAAAATCCTGGATACAAACCGAATTAAATACCTAATAGGGCTAGGTGCTGTTATTTGGGGGATACCGACAGAATTGGTATTGGTAAATATTGCAAACCTCGAAATGGAATTTCATTTAGACATTTTTTAACTTATTATGAAAGCTTTAAATGGCAAAGTAAAATGAACGCCCAAGCTCAAGATATACTCTTGAGAAAAGCATTGTCTCCGAGAAGTCAGTGTAAAAGAGTACAGTCGTTTATTTATTCTGGTTTAAGGTGAGAGTACATAAAACGCTTTTTTGACTGGATTAAGTCATCGGCTGGCTTCTTCGAAAAGAACAAAAAAGTAAGGCCAAAATCGAACTTAATCAACCTAAAACTCTTTTGTTGATCTACAAAGAAGCTAGCCAGTCAAAAACATTTAAAATTTTTGACATATCAATGTTCCCAACCGTACAGCAGCTGTGTCGATGCGACTACCTGTACTCTTGTACCATGTAGTCTACATTACGTAATTGCTAATACCAGCATATACTGCCCACGTCGCCGTCAGTAAAATAATTTTATCTAGTTCTGTCGCTCATTCAATGAACGCCACAGCCGTCTTTCTTTCTTTTCGATCTTTATATCTCTGAAGGCATGTTACTTTTGTTTTGAGTTTTGTATTTATCACTACTTTTTTGGTCTTTATTTCAACGGCGGCGAAATTTTTATATGAGCTTTGTAATTTAGTTGTGCCCATCATTATTGTTTGGAACTTGCGGGTGGGTGAAACGTTTACATCTTCACAGGACTCACACAGGAATAATGCCGAAAGAAAAGAAGCACAAGAAAGATAGCCATGGAGATCGACATCGCAGTCATAAGCATAAATCGAAACATAAATCCAAATCAAAAAAGAAATACCGCTCCTCCTCTTCATCGTCATCCTCATCTTCCTCGTCAGAAGACGAGTCTATGCCTAAAAACATTCAACTCCTGAAAGCTTTGGAGGAGCGGCGCTTAATGGAAGAACGTGAGAAGAAACGCATGAAGGAGGAAATGAAAGCAAAAGAAACTCCCGAACAGAAACGTGAACGACGTTTACGAGAAAAGGAAGCTAAGGAGTTGAGACGTAAACAACGCATGGGCTGGGACAATGAATATCAAACATACACCGACCAGGACAATCCTTTTGGTGATTCAAATCTGACATCCACTTTTGTTTGGTCTAAAAGTTGCAGAAACAAGGTCTCAAAGATGCTCCCCTGCAAACGGTTGAAGCCATTAACCGGCAAAAGCAAATGGAAAATAAAATTGAGCTGGAAAAAGTAAAGAAGCGACGCTTGGAAAGAGAAAGGGAAAGACAACAACGGGAGGAGGAAATGATCTTACAACAAAGAGAAAAGGAGGCAGCCCAATTTCATGAATGGGAAAAGCAGGAAGATCAATTTCATTTGGAACAAGCACGTTTGCGGAGCGAAATACGTATTCAAGACGGTCGGGCAAAGCCCATTGATCTGCTTGCTCAATATATCAACGATTCAAAATTAGAAGATGCCATTGAGATGCAAATGCATGAACCCTACTTCATCCTCAATGGATTGAACATAAAGGATTTAGAAGATCTCTTGGTCGACATAAAAGTTTACATTGAACTGGAAAAGGGCGAACACATTGATTTTTGGAATGATATGACCATCATAGTTGAAGATGAACTGCATAAGCAAAGGAAACAAGCAGAGCATGACGAGGCCGTGAGTTCGCGCAGGGAAGGAATACACGAGAGTGTGGTTAAGGACGTCTCGGCCACGTTCCGCAACAAGACGATAACCCAACTAGATGAGTTAAGGGCCAAAATTGAGAGCAAAATCGATTCCCGCACTGAAGGCGTTGATATAAGTTATTGGGAAAATATTCTATCTCAACTCAAAGCTCATATGGCCAGGGCAAGACTTAGGGATCATCATCAAAAGAAATTGAGAGAGAAACTGGACCTGCTGAAAACCACATCGATCAAAGAAGAAGCGAAAGAACTTAGTTCAACTGAGTCTCCCCGCAACACAGACGTCAGAGATGAAGAAAATGAGGATACTGCGCCAGAACTTTTCGAAAGTGATTGTTTCGCACTGTACGATGAAGGTGGATATAGCCCTACGTACATACCATTTGAGTCGCAAGGATCGCTTAATGTTATCGACGAAGAGGAAGATGAAATTAATTTGAAAACATTAAGACAACAGCTGCTGGAAATAAACCAAGAGTCCAGCATGACACAAGAGTTGGCAAAAATGCGGCAGGAGGCGCGTAAGGGAATGTCCAATGATGAAGTTGAGTTTTCTGTTGAAATGCCATGTGACAACTCATTGGCCATACAATTGGCAACAGATAAGTATCGACCGCGTAAGCCTCGATATTTCAATCGAGTACACACCGGATTCGAATGGAATAAATACAATCAGACACATTACGATATGGATAATCCGCCACCCAAAATTGTACAAGGTTATAAATTCAATATATTCTACCCCGATTTGATTGACAAATCGAAAACTCCACAATATTTCCTCACACAATGTGAAGATAATCCGGATTTTGCAATTTTGCGATTTCGTGCCGGCCCACCTTACGAGGATATTGCCTTTAAAATTGTCCACCGTGAGTGGGAGTTCAGCTATAAACGTGGTTTTCGTTGCCAGTTTCATAACAATATATTTCAGTTGTGGTTCCATTTCAAACGTTATAGATATCGCAGATAAGTTTACAATTTTAACAACTTTATTCAGTGTTTATATTTAATTTATTTGAATGTATAAATGCAAATAAAATATTTGTAAATGTAATAGTGTTTTCGTTTTATTTTTAAGACACTAGCCCTTTTACTGAAATGAAAAATAGTTTTAAAAATTGACTCAGAAACTTCCTTTAAAAAGAGGATAAGATTTTCACATTTAAAAGTATTTCTTAAAGACATCATTAAAATAAATAAATAAAATTCACGATTGAAACTTTTTTGTTAAAATTTCCTCTACGACAATTTTACTAAAGAATTTGAAATAGTAGTATAGAAAAGTACTGTCTTGAAAAATAGTTTCACAAATATTTAAAAAAATCTACGATAGTCTGGTTGTAAGAAATTCGACTCCTAACAGATTTATTTTAAAATAGTTTAAAAAATCCGCGTTTATTTGATAAAAGATGCCCAAAAAACATGTAAAAAATTAACATATGATTGAAAAAATAATTTTAAAAATCCACGAATAACAGGTTAATAAAAATATATCTAGAAAATCAACGACCGTTTAAAAAAAATATTTCAAAAAAATCTACGATCAAAAAACTGTGTTCAAAAAGTCCACGCAGAAAAAATTTATAAATAATATTAAAAAATGTTCGAGTGATACAATGCTTTTAAAAATACACCATTGAAAAAAATATTGCTGAAATTAGGAAGAAACAAGTAAAAAAGCTATAAGTTCGGTCGGACCGAACTTTGAATACCCTCCACAATTTGGAACAGCTCTGCTCAAGAAAAAATATCTCTTTCCAGACAAATTTCTCTTTGCTTATTTAAATAAAGAAGAAAACAGTTTTAAGCCATTATTTATACAAATATTTTTATCCATCTGCTTTATAAATTAATTTGGCAAATTTGGCAAATGGAATCGTAAAATATAAAGAAAAACAGAAAATTAATTTTCTCTTAAATTATCGGGAGGTATTGTTATATGGGGGCTATACGAAGACATGGACTTACATTCCCCATTTTCAATACCAAAAGTCCTGCAGACATAATATACATTTGAGTAACATTTTATCAATCTACTTCATTTCGTTCGGAAGCTAGAGTGATTTCCACAGACGGATAGACAGACGGACATCGCTAAATCAACATAGAAGTAGGGTCTAAAATCTATAATTCGAGTTGTTACAAACAAACTATGGTGGAGGGTATAAAAAATGACAAAAATCCACAAAAGATGGATTATTTAAAAAAAATCACGTTTGACAAGAACAACTACTGTACGTCACGGGTGTACGTTACGTTTCTATAACTAAACACTACGGGTCAGCTGTTTTCTTCAAAACCTCCCCTTTTACTTTCTCCAACCCCCTTACCTAACACTCTTTCTAATTTGTTTTCTACAACAAATCCAATGTCGATCCCAGAGATAATGGTAGCTGATTTCTCCTCCACTCACCCTCTTTTTACTGCTAAAAGAGAGTAAATTATAATCATGGTTTGTTAATCTTTTTTGTTAACTTTCAACTTAAAATTTCTTTATCTGTCGTTATGGAAATAGCAGCACCTTCTCAAGATTATCACCAATACTAAATTGTCCAAATAGTCCAATAAAAACGACGACGGTGCATTGGTGTTGAAGAAAATATTTTCAACTTTAATCTCAGTGTTCAGTTGTTTTTTGAAAGCCAAGTAACCAAGTGGGACGGTCGGTGCGTTCGCTTTGCTATCTTCGTTCCATTAACCAAGTAAACATTTACTTTATTTTAAGTGTTTAATCATAGTAAAGGTAAGGAGAGTAAAAGTTAAAGCAAAACGAAGAAAAGAGTAATGTGTAATAAAAATAATATATTTTTAAAAGAATTAAAAAATTAATGTTCTCAAACATAGCTATTAGGAAAAAATGGGCCGGTGAAGTAGAGCTCGGTTTTTTTTTCTTAAAAAAAAACATTTGGTGTTTAATGTAGAAATTTCATTAACGAATTTCGAAGTGATCAGTGCAATTTGAACTTTGAACCGGTTTCATTTAATATTATTCTGTTTTAATGTTTTGACTTTAAATCGTGTATTTTTGGCAAGTTAATTAATTTAATTGTAAACATTGTTGGTTTTTAATATGTTTTATTAAATTTTTATATGTGCATATTAATTTCCATGTTACAATTGATTTTTATTGGATGAACTAGAAATTCCCCTGGGAGAAAAGCAAATGTGACTTAATGTGGGTATTTTAAGTGGAAATGCGGAGAATACCATTTTGGTCAGAATTGTAATACAAAAGAATAAAATATTGTCCGTGTGTCTTAAATGTCAAACAACGCAATGACATAAAATCGGGTGTCACAAAATACCATGAGGTTGTTTATGACCAACATTGTAAGCTATCAAAAGCTCGCCCATAATTGATGGTAATATAAATATTTAATAGACCTACATTGTATGAATATTACAACATCCCTGGACTCCATTATGGTCAAGAATGGCACGTGAAATGGTTTCTTTCAGCTATGATACTTTCAGCTACCTATGGCTTTTGAACTGCCTCTGTATAAAATAAAATGAACTGCCGATCTGTTTTCGGTACTTGGCGAAGTGACTTCATAGTATATATATTGATCCAAACACACTTGAATTGAGTTCAATTTGGTAACTTCATCCTGAAATAAAGTCTAAGTTAAACAAGTTAGAAGATTTCATTCGGTGTTCCGTCAGTTATATATGTACCCTCATCGAGATTCAGTGGTCAAATATTTTCCCATATCGCACGCATGACCTAAGTTTGGTTTAAATATGTCTGCGGACCAAGTTTGAACTGTATCGGGTACTTTAAGCCTTTTGTGTAATCTGTATGAAAATCTGAAGTTTGGGGGTGGGAATTACCCGAAATATTGTACCATTATTTATTCACACATAATCTAACATAGGTAGAAATATTAGGATATGTGAAAGTTGAAGAAAATCGAGAGGTATTATTAAGAGAGTTATTATAATTTAAAATTAAGATTTTTGTGGGACATGTACATGAATGAGTGGACCAATATTGCTCATTTTTATACCCTCCACCATAGTACGGAGGGTATATTAAGTTTGTCATTCCGTTTGTAACACTTCGAAATATACATTTTAGACCCCACAATGGGCATATATTCTTGATCAGTATTCAATTCTATGTCGAGTTAGCGATGTCCGTTAGTCTTTCCGTCTGGATTCAAACGAAATGAAGTAGATTGATAAAATTTAACTTAAATGTACATATATTACGTCTGAAGGACTTTTGGTATTAAAAATGGCTCATGTAGGTCCACGTTTTCGTATAGCCCACATATAACGGTACCTTCCGATATTCGGTATTTTGATGATTTTTACCATAATGTCGGTAAAATCCGTAATTGTATAAAATTTGGTATTTGAACTTCGTAATGAATACTATAGCCTATGACAGAAAATTGTCTGTGCAGGTCAACGTCTTTGTATAGCCCCCACATAACGGTACCTCAGAATATTCGGTACTTTGATGATTTTAGTGACATTATTGACCGGAATCATTTCAAATTTTGTATTTGAAGTACGTAATAAATACTGCAGCCGAAGGCAGAAAATTGTCTGTGCAGGTCCACATTTTGGTATAGCCCCCATATAAGAGTACCTCCCTATATTGATGATTTTATCTACATTATTCAGCAATTTTAGCATTTGAATATTGGAATGACTTATGACAAACGTTGCCCATGCAGTTCCACGTCGTCGTGTAGACCCTAATATAACAGACTTAATATAACAGCATTTTTAACGGATTTTATTTTTATTTTATTTTTTTTTGAAAATTGCCAAATTTGTTTCAAATGTTGGAGGGTATACAAAGTTCGGCCCGGCCGAACTTACATCTTTTTTACTTGTTTAACTTTGTCATTCCATTTGTAACCCCTCGAAATACTTATGTCTGACCCAGCAAAGTATATATGTATATTCTTGATCAGGGTAAAATCGATCTATGCCTTATCTAAATATTGCGATGTACCAAGTTTGAACTATATCAGGAACATCGTTATATTTTTATAAGGTAAGGTTCAAAACTAGATAATTTTGACCTAAAATACTGGAGTTTGTATAACGAAACTTTTCTATCGAAAATTAGATTAAGTTAAAATATGGACATTACCGGTACACTTCTTTTGGTACGTCCACAAAAACCGTCAATATTTTGAAAAATCATTAACCACAAATATACATCAAATATACCGCCTTCGTATCGTCTCACAGAAACAGGTTCATATTATTAACACAATTTTGTTTTTCTTTCAGTGCAAAAAATGGCAACTCTATTACCTGGAAATATTTTGTACGGTGGACCCGTTACTGGCACAGAGACCAAGCAATATAAGTCATTGGGCCACTATGCTATGGAAAAATATAAAAGTTTTGGAACCCAAACCGTTTTGGTAAATTAATTTAATTTTGCATGCATACATATTTACTTTAGAATACATTGGAGGCTTTAGTATTAGGACTGAATTGAATAAAGAAAGAAAGAAAACATTTGCAAGTCATATAACGAAAGACCTTATGTGTTAATATCAAAACATTTGCAGTTTGAACCTGATAATAAGTATAAAATTTCTAACCGAGCGATATGATAACCAACAAGATGATAAAGTTGAGAGTATGAACAAAGAGCAAAATTGTAAGCAAGAACTTTCAACTAAACTATGGTTTTGATAATTCTAATAATTTCATGGGGGTAGTTGGCTAGTGCTATTTTAATTATGTATGGGTGTATATTTATTATTGTCATGTCAATTATATGTATAAACAATATGCAGGTGGATTAACATGCAATAAATTATTGAGGTATGGATCAAAGTCTCTTTATTAAAACGTTATGCTTTGTTACACATATATATGACATAAATTGAGTATTTTAAAGCAATGAAGAAAAGAATTGTCAAATTTAAATGCAATTGAAATTTTCAAGTTATGGGTAATTTTTGATGAAGGCTTTGAACTGCGTAATATATTGCTTCCATAACTATATTTCAAGTAGGTGTACAGGGTGAGATAAAAACTACAACAAAGTCAAACGCCATAATTTTTACATTTTTTTTAAATTTTATTGAATGAAAGAAAAAATTTCGAAAATAGCATCGAATTTTAGAATAAGTTTAGATTTGTTCGAATTGGTCATCTTTGCCATGAATTATGGCCTTAAAACGGTCAATGAAGGCGTCACACGCTGCCCGAATGTTGCTCTGTGGTATTTTGGCCCAATCCCTGCGAAGCGCTTGCTTGAGGTGATCGACACTTTGGTATTTTTTAGTGGAATAATTTAAACAGCTGTCGAACGAGTGGCTTAGAAATGACAGCAGTCTGAAGTTGGTTGCAGTTTTTTTCTATCTCACCCTGCATTATACAAAAAAAATATTCCTTGTAAGATTTAGGGTAGGGCCACCTAATACAACATGTTTATATTATCCTGCATTAATACATATCAAAGGCTGTAGTTCTCAGAAAATCACCACACAAAACCTTGCCATTTTCGACTTCTTTTCCAGATCGATGCTGTTACAGGCCAAGAATACTCGGCTGAATATATGTACAAATCGATTGTACGATTGGCCCACGTAATGAAATATCTTGGTGTTAAAAGCAATGATGTTGTCGGTTTATCCAGTGAAAACCGCTTGGAATATGCCATTACTTTATTTGCTGCCTTTGTTGTAAACGCTACTGTGGCTCCATTGAATGTTACATATTCTGAGCGTAAGTATAAAATTGCCTCTAAAATTAAATTTAATTTAAATAATAAATAATTTTTTCTTTTCAGGTGAGGTACATCATGCCATTAATCTATCCAAACCTAAAGTAATGTTCGCCTCAAAGATGACAATCGATCGTATTGCGAAGGTGGCTAAAAATAATTCCTTTGTTAAGAAACTTGTTGTTTTCGGCAATGATTCCACCAGCTCCCATGTACTTGCATTCGATGCACTAATGAAAAGCGATAAAATTCCTTCGCAAGATACATTCGAATGTGAAATTGCCAATAAAGATGATGATGTAGCCTTAATTGTGTGCTCGTCTGGCACTACTGGCTTGCCCAAGGGTGTACAGTTAACTCAATCAAATATTTTGAGCACGATCGATTCTCAATTGTAAGTATAAATTGAAAAGAAAATATAGTTTTTTGGCGAGGTTTTATACCTAAAAACTAATTATAAGATTCGAAAAAATTAAATTCTTTAAAACGATTCGAAAAAAAACTCTCCGAAACTCTACTCTTTTACATCTTTTATCATGAATCAAATGAGGTAGAGCATCCCACTACTGAATACAATTTCTTCTTATGGTAGCCTTGTAATGTCAAAACAAAAAATTAAGTTTTTTATGTGTCCTACATTGTGATCATGTTCTAATACGTTCTACATTCAAAGCGAATCAGTACGTATTTATTCGAATAATTCCCAATGTAATTCATTTATTTTTCTTAATAATATTGATATTTCCGTTCAGATTTATTTATTAAAAAAAATTAATTTCCATGTTTTCTTTTTTCAGGGAACCAACTGCTCTGCCATTGGGAGAAATGAAAATGTTAACTGTTATTCCATGGTTCCATGCTTTCGGCTGCCTAACATTGATTACTACTGGCTGTATGGGTGCTGTTTTGGTTTACTTACCCAAATTTGAGGATCATCTCTTCTTGAGTGCCATTGAAAAGTATCGTATCATGATGGCCTTTATGGTGCCACCATTAATGGTCTTCCTTGCCAAACATCCCATTGTTGAGAAATATGATTTGTCTTCGTTAATGGTGCTGTTGTGCGGTGCAGCTCCACTCAGTAAAGAAACTGAAGATCAAATTAAAGAACGCATTGGTGTGCCAATTATTCGTCAAGGTTACGGCCTCAGTGAGTCTACATTAAGTTTGATTGTACAAAATGACAATGCCTGTAAGCCTGGCAGTGTTGGCGCATTGAAGGTTGGTCTTTATGCCAAGGTAATTGACACGGAGACCGGAAAAGTTTTGGGACCAAATCAACGCGGTGAGCTGTGTTTCAAGGGTGATTGTATTATGAAGGGTTATATTGGTGATACCAAATCAACTCAAAGCGCCATTATTGATGGTTGGCTACACACGGGTGATATTGGTTATTTTGATGATGATTTTGAATTCTTTATTGTTGATCGCATCAAGGAATTGATTAAATACAAAGGCTTCCAAGTACCACCAGCTGAAATTGAAGCTTTGTTGTTAACCCATCCAAAAATTAAAGATGCCGCCGTCATTGGCAAGCCCGACGAAGAAGCTGGAGAATTACCTTTGGCTTTTGTTGTGAAGCAAGCCAATGTTGACTTAAGTGAAAAGGAAGTCATTGATTTTGTGGCTGAACGGGCATCTCCCGCCAAGAAACTGCGTGGTGGTGTCATTTTTGTTGATGAGATCCCCAAGAATCCTAGTGGCAAGATTTTAAGACGTGTTCTTCGTGATATGCTCAAAAAGAAACCCAAGTCAAAATTGTAAATTAATAGCCGTAATTCTGAAAAGTGTACATATTTTCTAAAAAAAAAACAAAAACAAAATGGATAACCAAAGTAAACGGAAGGTTCAATGAAATTTACCTGATTAGCTAAATAATAGGGTGCAATTTAAATTATAAACTAATACACAACTGAATGGAAAGGTTTCTTTTTAAACTTAAATTTCCATAGGTAAATTTTAATTCTTTTAATAAAGTTTGTAACTTTAAAAAAATAATACAAAAGCATTTTTATTTATTTCAAAAGAGAGTAGGAACCTAATATGCAGGAAGTTCAAAGTCAAAATCTTTTTATTTGCTTTTAAAAAGTGTTTTCGATAAAAACAATACATTCAAACATAGTCTGTTTAGGTTTCATTTAAAGTTTTCATTTATTTAGTACATTTTCTTGACGTCACTCTTCGTTAATACATAAAATCTAATAATTTTCTGTTCTTTTATTTGATTTTAAACTATGAAGATAATGTTAACGTGAGTTTGTATGTAAATATGCATACAAACATATATATAAGTAATAAATACGCTGCGTGTGTGTGTTTCGTGAATTATAAATCTATTATTTTTCTAGTTGTATTTTGCAACTTTTTAACCAATATAATATATTTTTATTAATTAGCACTAAATATTTAATCTAATTTTTTTGCTAAATAGTTACAACAGAAATTTCCTACAGGAAATAATATATGTGTGTGTATGTATAATTTTCTTTCTTTTCATATTTGTAATAAAAACGTTTTACTTTCATTTCGCCAAAGGATCGTCGATTGTTATAACATTGAAGCATTTGTTCGTTCTTGTTTTTTTTGGTTTTTTTTTATTCTTTAGTAATTGTGTTCTTGGTGACATGAAAAAATTGACCCATTATTACCGAATTTTCAATGAATTATTGTAGAAGTTATGCATTTGTTATTCTAAAATACAAATAAGAAATAACAATAAAACATCAATTTCAGGGAATTATTTAATGTGTAAATAGAAAATAATCGCTTATGATCGAAAACTGCTTCAATATGGGATATGTTACGATGAAGGCTTTAAAAACTCCGCTCTGTCTACATTTAAAGAAATATCAAGAAACTTTAGGGAATGTTTCAACTGGAAAAAGTTGTCCTGAAATCTCTTATAAATTGAAATCTAAAGATAGAAATTACCAAGGTAGGCAAAAGCTAACAAGCGGGTACAATGCAGTCGCTCGTGTTTTATAGAATGCCCAAGTTATTGTATTGTGTACGACATTTGAAAACAATGTAGGAAGCCTTTTAGACCGTGGTAGGGGCCATGGAAATCGAAAAAATTAACCTAGACTATGCTGGATAGAAATTTCTGCGTAATCAAGGAAAATGTATTAACTATTAATAATAATATCGCGACAGTGAATATCTATGAAGACAGTCAAATGGCTCTTAAAGTCTTCTAATCATTCAAAAATATATATTTTATATTATTTATGTATACAGGGTGAGATGATAAAACTACAACCAACTTCAGACTGCTGTCATTTCAAAGCCACTCGTTTGACAACTGTTAAAATTGTTAAAATTATTATTATTAGTGACAGCCCACCCTAGAATGGTTACAAAATGAGGTTCCTCGCTTAATTTCCAGCGCACAATGGCCAACAAAATCTCCGGATACCAATCCGTTGGACTATTGTGTCTGGAGTATTTGGGAAAGCTAGGTTGACACTAAAAATACCAAAGTGTCGATCACCTCAAGCAAACGCTTCGCCGGGAACGGGCCAAAATACCGCAGAGCAACATTCGGGCAGCTTGTGACGAATTTATTGGCCGTTTAAAGGTCATAATTCGTCCCAAAGGAAAATCTAAAATCTAATTCGTCCCAAAGGAAATCAAATCTAAACTTATTATAAAATTTGATGCTATTTCCGACGTTTTTTGCTTTCATTCAATGAAATAAAAAAAATGTAAAAATGTTTGACTTGATTGCGGTTTTTTACCTCACCCTGTATGTTGTAATTGAAAAGCCTTTAAAAACTCCGCTCTGTCTACATTTAAAGAAATATCAAGAAACTTTAGGGAATGTTTCAACTGGAAAAAGTTGTCCTGAAATCTCTTATAAATTGAAATCTAAAGATAGAAATTACCAAGGTAGGCAAAAGCTAACAAGCGGGTACAATGCAGTCGCTCGTGTTTTATAGAATGCCCAAGTTATTGTATTGTGTACGACATTTGAAAACAATGTAGGAAGCCTTTTAGACCGTGGTAGGGGCCATGGAAATCGAAAAAATTAACCTAGACTATGCTGGATAGAAATTTCTGCGTAATCAAGGAAAATGTATTAACTATTAATAATAATATCGCGACAGTGAATATCTATGAAGACAGTCAAATGGCTCTTAAAGTCTTCTAATCATTCAAAAATATATATTTTATATTATTTATGTATACAGGGTGAGATGATAAAACTACAACCAACTTCAGACTGCTGTCATTTCAAAGCCACTCGTTTGACAACTGTTAAAATTGTTAAAATTATTATTATTAGTGACAGCCCACCCTAGAATGGTTACAAAATGAGGTTCCTCGCTTAATTTCCAGCGCACAATGGCCAACAAAATCTCCGGATACCAATCCGTTGGACTATTGTGTCTGGAGTATTTGGGAAAGCTAGGTTGACACTAAAAATACCAAAGTGTCGATCACCTCAAGCAAACGCTTCGCCGGGAACGGGCCAAAATACCGCAGAGCAACATTCGGGCAGCTTGTGACGAATTTATTGGCCGTTTAAAGGTCATAATTCGTCCCAAAGGAAAATCTAAAATCTAATTCGTCCCAAAGGAAATCAAATCTAAACTTATTATAAAATTTGATGCTATTTCCGACGTTTTTTGCTTTCATTCAATGAAATAAAAAAAATGTAAAAATGTTTGACTTGATTGCGGTTTTTTACCTCACCCTGTATGTTGTAATTGAAAAGCCTTTAAAAACTCCGCTCTGTCTACATTTAAAGAAATATCAAGAAACTTTAGGGAATGTTTCAACTGGAAAAAGTTGTCCTGAAATCTCTTATAAATTGAAATCTAAAGATAGAAATTACCAAGGTAGGCAAAAGCTAACAAGCGGGTACAATGCAGTCGCTCGTGTTTTATAGAATGCCCAAGTTATTGTATTGTGTACGACATTTGAAAACAATGTAGGAAGCCTTTTAGACCGTGGTAGGGGCCATGGAAATCGAAAAAATTAACCTAGACTATGCTGGATAGAAATTTCTGCGTAATCAAGGAAAATGTATTAACTATTAATAATAATATCGCGACAGTGAATATCTATGAAGACAGTCAAATGGCTCTTAAAGTCTTCTAATCATTCAAAAATATATATTTTATATTATTTATGTATACAGGGTGAGATGATAAAACTACAACCAACTTCAGACTGCTGTCATTTCAAAGCCACTCGTTTGACAACTGTTAAAATTGTTAAAATTATTATTATTAGTGACAGCCCACCCTAGAATGGTTACAAAATGAGGTTCCTCGCTTAATTTCCAGCGCACAATGGCCAACAAAATCTCCGGATACCAATCCGTTGGACTATTGTGTCTGGAGTATTTGGGAAAGCTAGGTTGACACTAAAAATACCAAAGTGTCGATCACCTCAAGCAAACGCTTCGCCGGGAACGGGCCAAAATACCGCAGAGCAACATTCGGGCAGCTTGTGACGAATTTATTGGCCGTTTAAAGGTCATAATTCGTCCCAAAGGAAAATCTAAAATCTAATTCGTCCCAAAGGAAATCAAATCTAAACTTATTATAAAATTTGATGCTATTTCCGACGTTTTTTGCTTTCATTCAATGAAATAAAAAAAATGTAAAAATGTTTGACTTGATTGCGGTTTTTTACCTCACCCTGTATGTTGTAATTGAAAAGCCTTTAAAAACTCCGCTCTGTCTACATTTAAAGAAATATCAAGAAACTTTAGGGAATGTTTCAACTGGAAAAAGTTGTCCTGAAATCTCTTATAAATTGAAATCTAAAGATAGAAATTACCAAGGTAGGCAAAAGCTAACAAGCGGGTACAATGCAGTCGCTCGTGTTTTATAGAATGCCCAAGTTATTGTATTGTGTACGACATTTGAAAACAATGTAGGAAGCCTTTTAGACCGTGGTAGGGGCCATGGAAATCGAAAAAATTAACCTAGACTATGCTGGATAGAAATTTCTGCGTAATCAAGGAAAATGTATTAACTATTAATAATAATATCGCGACAGTGAATATCTATGAAGACAGTCAAATGGCTCTTAAAGTCTTCTAATCATTCAAAAATATATATTTTATATTATTTATGTATACAGGGTGAGATGATAAAACTACAACCAACTTCAGACTGCTGTCATTTCAAAGCCACTCGTTTGACAACTGTTAAAATTGTTAAAATTATTATTATTAGTGACAGCCCACCCTAGAATGGTTACAAAATGAGGTTCCTCGCTTCATTTCCAGCGCACAATGGCCAACAAAATCTCCGGATACCAATCCGTTGGACTATTGTGTCTGGAGTATTTGGGAAAGCTAGGTTGACACTAAAAATACCAAAGTGTCGATCACCTCAAGCAAACGCTTCGCCGGGAACGGGCCAAAATACCGCAGAGCAACATTCGGGCAGCTTGTGACGAATTTATTGGCCGTTTAAAGGTCATAATTCGTCCCAAAGGAAAATCTAAAATCTAATTCGTCCCAAAGGAAATCAAATCTAAACTTATTATAAAATTTGATGCTATTTCCGACGTTTTTTGCTTTCATTCAATGAAATAAAAAAAATGTAAAAATGTTTGACTTGATTGCGGTTTTTTACCTCACCCTGTATGTTGTAATTGAAAAGCCTTTAAAAACTCCGCTCTGTCTACATTTAAAGAAATATCAAGAAACTTTAGGGAATGTTTCAACTGGAAAAAGTTGTCCTGAAATCTCTTATAAATTGAAATCTAAAGATAGAAATTACCAAGGTAGGCAAAAGCTAACAAGCGGGTACAATGCAGTCGCTCGTGTTTTATAGAATGCCCAAGTTATTGTATTGTGTAC